CGTCCTCGTCCTCCTCCATCTCCTCCTCCTCCTCCTCCTCCTTTTTCCCCTCCTCCTCATCCTCCTTCTCCTCCAGCTGCTCCTTCTCCCGCCACCCCCCCTACTCCTCCTCCCCTCCTCCTCAGCCTCCTCCTCCTCCTCCCTCCTCCCCCTCCTCCTCCTCCTCCTCCTCCTCCTCCTCCTCCTCCTCTCCTCCCCTCCTCCTCCCCTCCTTCCTCCTCCTCCTCTCTCCTCCCTCTCCTCATCCTCTCCTCCTCCCTCCCTCCTCCCTCCTCCTCCTCCTCCTCCTCCTCCTCCTCCTCCTCCTCCTCCTCCTCCTCTTCGCCCTCCTCCTCGCCTCCTCCTCCTCATCATCTTCCACGGCCTCCGTCTCCGCCCACTTCGTCGCCGACGTCGTGGTCCTCTTCAGGGTCGGCGGCACCGGCCGTCTGGCCTTCGCAATAACCAACTGGCGTGGTTGGGCAAGTCTATCGCAGGCGCGACGCAGACGCGCCGGGACAGCCTAATTTCACGCCTGACAGCGCGCGCCCAGCAACGGGCCGAGAAAAATAACTATGCGCTTGCACGACAAAATGAAGGATTGCTTCTCATCGGAGCAACGCCCACTCGAAGCCACTATGCGCGAATAGGTTTGGACCGAGTTTGCGCCGACGCACAAGGGCGTGTGCCCGCGAGCCCTGGCAGGCCAACAGATGCCATTCAATTTCCCTTTCCTCCTTGCTCCTCCTGCCCCCCCTGGCTGCACAAGCTGCGCTGAGCTCGCTGTTCTCGCGCCCGCGCGCCGGGCGGCGCGCGGGCGCTGGGCGGCGCGCGGCCGAGCGGTGCAGAGCATGGCCCTGGGAGCTAGAAACATCGGCGGAGGGCAGGGCGCAACCAATTCTGGCCAGCGACATGACAGCCGCTCGTGCAGGATCTATCACCAGCGCCCATGGCCCCTCCTCCTGCCACAGACTTAGCACCCCCTGCAGGTAGGTCTGACAGACTATGCGCTCAACGCCCAGTGCTTGGTCGCTTCGCGCACTGTGGCCGCCCGCGGGTCTCCGGCGGATCCTCTCGGGGCAAAGCGAAGACGAAGCGCCGCCGAGGTGCCCGGGGGCGCCCCCTCCGCCCCCCTCGAGGCGGCAAGACTGAAAGCAGCGCGCGCCCTGTCGGCAGCGACCGTGGCCGCCGCGCCCCGCGTATCAAACCATCTCGACCTGGGTCGCTGATTTAGATCGCCGTCTAAATACGCCACGCTGGTCATGAAGCCTGTCTATCCCCCATTGACAACCGGCTGCCTACGCTGCGCAGGGGGTGCCGAATCGGACGCGGCGCGCGGGAGCTGCTCTAGCGCTCTAGCGCCCAGGCTCTGCCCCCCATGGCCTGGAGGAGGAAGCCGACGACAAAATTGCTGCTGCCACACCACAATGACAGCAAGCACTACGAGCTTCGCTAGGGTTAGGGCACAGACAGCTGCAGCCCACGGCGATTGCGCCGCTGGCCTGGGCAGAATCTGAAATGGCCACATTCCACCCGGCCCTGCGGGGCAGCATATGCTGGGCGCAGAAGCACGCGAGAAGCCTGACAAGGGGGCCCAGTGGCCCACGGTTCCCGCAGCAGGTCCCCGCGCGAGATGCGCCCATAGCATTCTGAGAAATCGAGGGCCCCGCTTATCGCAGCGAGCCCTTCAAACTCTGCAGATCTCTGACTGGCGTCACGCGCGTGCCCGCCCGAGCGAGAGCTCCCGATTCCTCGCAACCCGCTGCCTCAGGCGCGACCAAATGCGATCCCAGATGAGGGCCAAGGCGACTGGCCTAACTTCAGGGGCTGGGACTGGTCTGCCCAGGGAGAACAGCAAAAGCGCCCAGAATTCGAGACCCTCAGGATCCAGATCCCGCCCCATGAGAACGTCAAGGGAAGCCCGCTTGTAGCTGCTTGGGGGCCGCCAAACTTGGCGCGGATGCACATGGCCCCCCCGCCCCCCCCCCGCCCCGGAGCCCGCGAGAGCCAGAGTTGGACGAGATCGCTCCATCGAGCTGCGAGATGGCGACCTTGGGCAGCTCAGCCCAGGGGCCCACAGCATGCTGATCTTCGATAGGTAAAGATCGGGAGCGACAAAGAGGGGGGCGACGAAGTTGGGGGGGGGGAGGTATTATGGCTCGAGGCAAGTGCTGCACACTGCTCGCAGGCCGACGCACGCACGAACGCAATCTAATATCATAGAAGCCCGCTGACCGCCAGGACCATCGGTTCAGAACCAAAACCAGCCAGCCAGATTGCGGCCCAGTCGCAAGCAACGCAACTGCACGCCAATCGCAACACAACCACAGCCCAATCGCTACAAACTCAATTCAAAATGCGCGCGCGTAGATCGATCAACGAGGCGTTATTGGACGTGCCCTCCAACCGACCTAATCGTGTCTTCGCAGCCCCCGGGGCCCTCAGATTCTGAGCCTTTCGTAGCCATGACGACGCGCGTTGCCAGATACCTGCCGTCGGGCACATGCTGGACTCAACGGCCCAGGCACTGGCGACAGGGCACGGGCCAGGGGCCACGGACACTGGGCAACGGGGCACGGGCAACAGTCCATGGGCCGCGGGCCACGGGGCCATGAGCAACGGGCCGCACGCCATGGGCCACGAAGAACCCCAAGGGCCACGAGAACGAGGAGGCAGCCCGGGAGGGGGGTGGAGCGATGGGAGGGGGGGGAGGCAGGAGGGGAAGGCGGGGCGGGGGCGGGGAAACGGGGGAATCTGAAAAATGCGCATGTACGTCGGTGAACCGCGTGACCTGGCCACGTGTTTTCGCAGAACTCATGCCCGCGCGAATCCCATAGGAATGTTGATATTGTTGTTGATTGTGACTCTGGGGTGTAAAAGGGATTTGCTGGCCCTTGGCATGTGTACTCGCGGAACTCCTGGCCAGTGCCAGGTGTTCCTGGCAAACTCGCGTCCGTGCCATGTGGCTTCTGGGAATTTCACGGCCAGTGTCATGTGCTCTCTCGGAACCCATGGTCGTTGCAACGTGTTCCCGGCAAACCCGTGTCCGCGCCAGTTGGTTTCTGGGGATTTCATGGTCATTGTCGTGCGTTCTCTTGGAACTCATCGCCGTGGCCATGTGTTCCGGGCAAACTCGCGTCCGTGCCATGCGTTCTATGGGAATGTCATGGCCAGCGCCATGTGTTCTCTCGGAACTCGAGGCCAACGAACGGATTGAGCGCCACCATTTGGCACCGCAAGATTTTCGCGATCGGCCCCGTCGCAAATGCGCCGCGGCGCCACGAGCCGCGGCATCGCGGGGACACGCGGCAATTGAGGTCACGGGCCAGAATGCCGAGAAACCACGGGCCGCCACGGGACCATGGAGCCGCGAGACACGGAGCGTTCGGAGCCACGGTCCAACGGAACGCAATAACAACGAACATTTGCAACGCGGCAAGTTCGCTTTGCGCCACTGGTGGAATGTGCCTGCCGACTGCGCGGGCACAGCGATCTTACACAGCGGGTGTAAGCAAACGCTCTGGTTGTCTAGTTTCGAACATCATCATCATGAACTCAATCATGATACGCACACCCCCTAGTCCTCCTCCCCCTCGTGGCAGCTCCCGAAAAGATGGGCGCCCATCAATGCCCTCGGTGTGAACCTGAATTTCAGGGACCGGCTTCTCCACAAACGCGCAATCCGCCCTTTCCCCCATGTTATTTGGCAGCCGCCTCAGTCCGGGCATTCCAGGTCTTGGCACTTCCAGCGCGCCCCCTACCCTGCAAGGAGGAAGGGCAAGCCTCTAACCCCAGAAGAAGAGAGAGCGAGAGAGAGAGAGAGAGCGAGAGAGAAAGAGAGAGAGAGAGAGAGAGAGCGCGCGAGAGAGAGAGAGAGCCCCCGCCGCTCTCCGAAAACAATTCAGTATAAACAACCGAACGAGAAGTGCCCCTCCAAGGCCCAATATTGCCATACTTCGGCCATGGCGGTAACGCAATGCGCGCAGCCGTCTTCTCCTGCCGACGCTGGGTTGCCAGCCACATGAAGCCTTTGACGCGTGCTTCAGAACATATGGCATGCAGCCTCAAGTAAGCCGAATGGAACGAGTTCCACCTCCTGCCGTCAACGAACAAACATATAGCGTAGGCCACTCCTCCAAGCCTGGTCGATATTCACGCACTGCACTTGCAGCCAATCCGAACGCCCAGAATACGCTGCACTGCACAAGGCGGAGCCCGTGGAACTCCAGAAGGTACTCCTCGACATACTCAAACCACGCCTGACAGGCCGCACGAAGATCCCCAGGCAGGTGGGTCCCCGCCAAGCCTCCATGGCCAGTGCTGGTCTCTACGCTCTGGTGGTGCTGCTCGAACAGGCAACGGCGTGTCGATCGGGAGCTTCATGGGCAACATCGCCCTGGGAACCTTCGCCTGCACCGACTGGCCCTTAGAAAAGAGTCCGACTGGCGAGTGAGAGCGCGCGGGCACTCTTAGCACTACCGAAGTATCCTAGACAAGCGGCGTCAACACACTGATACAGATGAAGCATTCCAGCTCGCTGGCACCCCACGTCACATCACCCAAATTCACAATGACCTTCTGAACCAACTTGGGCATCTCATCAGGAACTAACTTCCAATCAACACCAATAGTCCAGGGTAGCTGTATTTGCTGATAAGCTTGAAGAGCTTGCCCAACAAATCAATGTTGGCATCTACCAGGCCAACACTGCTATGCAAATCTATTGAAACAGTAACTATGGCAGCGGCAGCCCGATGTTGACCTGAAGCGCAGCCACACTTGACGAGAACAATGCTCCCTCTGCAAGCTCCGACATGTCTGCTGGGAGCCTGCTGATCACAACACAGCCAGCACTCGATTCTGCGGGTCCCGTGCCCGTGCTGTCCGCCAGCGACATCGAGACGCGAGAACCCCGCGAGGAGGAAGAGGAGGAGGAGGAGGAGGAACTCCTCTTTCTCTCCGCCCCAGAGGGTCCCCGAGCGGGGTGGACGGAGAGAGGAGCGCTGGCCGCGGGCACGAGCCTCACTGAGGTGCAGGCAATTCCGGATGAGGCTCCGCAGCTCCTCCGCGCTTCCCACCCCTCCGTCGGCGACGCTCCCTCGAGGACGGGCCGCGCCTCGGCCAGCCGCCGCCCGCAGCGTCACCTCCTCCTCCTCCTCCTCCTGCCTCCTCCTTCTCCTCCTCCTCCTCCTCCTCCCTCCTTCCCCTCCCCTTTTCCTCCCCTTTTCCTCCGGCCTCCTCCTCCTCCTCAGCCTCCACATCCGCCTCTTCCACACCCGCCTTCCTCCCCCCTCTGTTTCCTGTCTCCTTTTCCTCCGGCCTCCTCCTCCTCCTCCTCTTCCTTTTCCTTCGGGGGCCACCAAGCGGTGTGGTGATCGCACTGTGCGGTCAAAAAGCGGGGAGTCGGGGTCACCGCACGGTTTTGGGACCCGCGTCGCTCTCCGAGGCGGCAAAACCGTGCGGTGACGGACCGCGCGGCGAGGTCTCTTGAGATTTCAAAATTACCATGCGGCATGTCACCACACGGAATTGGGACACCCGAATCCTCCTCCCACTCCTCCTCCGCCATCCTTCCACCAGCATCTGCTGGTCCGCCTAGTGTTGTCCATCCTCCTCCGTTTTCTTACTCTTGCGCTGTCCCTCCCCCCATCTCCCCCCCATGGAGGGTGCAGGCAATTCTGGATGAGACTCCGACGCTCCTCCGCGGGCCCCTTTCGGCGGCGCCCTCTCGAGGATGAGAGGGCATGTGCCGGGCCTGGTGAAAGTCAGCTACAGGCAAGAGCGACCCGAGGCAAAAGTGATCTGTGATGCGGGGCTTTAGGGGGGCTGCGGGGAAGACTGACCCAAGCGGGCAATTACACTACCGAGGAACCCCACATACTGATGTAAGGTCGCGCGTGTTCACGCCTGCTGTGCCTGGACGACCGTCACGAATAGCGGCCGCGGTGAGAGACCTCACCCCCTATGGTCTCGAGACTATGCCATGCCTGCTGTGCCTGGACGAACGTCACGGACAGCGGCCGCGGTGAGAGACTTCCCCTTGCGCACCCCCTATGGTCTCGAGACTATGCCATGCCTGCTGTGCCTGGACGAACGTCAAGGATAGCGGCCGCGGTGAGAGACCACCCCCTGCGCACCCCCTCTGGCGTCGAGAAATTGCCGCGCCTGCGAGGCTTTTCGACAGTGTCTTGGATAGCGGCCGCGGTGAGAGACCACCCCCTGCGCAACCCCCTTCTGGCGTCGAAAAATTGCCGTGCTGCGAGGCTTTTCGACAATGTCGTGGATAGCGGCCGCGGTGAGAAGACCACCCCCTGCGCAACCCCTCTGGCGTCGAGAAATTGCCGCGCCTGCGAGGCTTTTCGACAGTGTCGTGGATAGCGGCCGCGGTGAGAGACCACTCCTGCGCACCCCCTCTGGCGTGGAGAAATTGCTGCGCCTGCGAGGCGTTTCGACAGTGTCGTGGATAGCGGCCGCGGTGAGAGACCACCCCCTGCGCACCCCCTCTGGCGTCGAGAAATTGCCGCGCCTGCGAGGCTTTTCGACAGTGTCGTGGATAGCGGCCGCGGTGAGAGACCACCCCCTGCGCACCCCCTTCTGGGTCGAGAAATTGCCGCGCCTGCGAGGCTTTTCGGCAATGTCGTGGATAGCGGCCGCGGTGAGAGACCACCCTGCGCACCCCCTCTGGCGTCGAGAAATTGCCGCGCCTGCGAGGCTTTTCGACAGTGCCGTGGATAGCGGCCGCGGTGAGAGACCCCCCTTGCGCACCCCCTCTGGCGTCGAGAAATTGCCGCGCCTGCGAGGCTTTTCGACAGTGTCGTGGATAGCGGCCGCGGTGAGAGACCACCCCCTGCGCACCCCCTCTGGCGTCGAGAAATTGTTGCGCCTGCGAGGCTTTTCGACAGTGTCTTGGATAGCGGCCGCGGTGAGAGACCCCCCCCTGCGCAACCCCCCTCTGGCGTCGAGATATTGCCGCGCTGCGAGGCTTTTCGACAATGTCGTGGATAGCGGCCGCGGTGAGAAGACCACCCCCTGCGCTCCCCCTCCGGCGTCGAGAAACAGTGTCGTGGATAGCGGTCGCGGTGAGAGACCACCCCCTGCGCACCCCCTCTGGCGTCGAGAAACAGTGTGGTGGATAGCGGCCGCGGTGAGGAGACCACTTCGTGCGCAGCCTCTCTGTGGTGTCGAGAAAGTGCCACGCCTGCCACGCTTTGCGAGCCCACAACGGATAGGGAGACCACCCCCTGCGCTTCGCTGTGCTGTCCTGTATTGTGTTGTGCTGTGCCGTGCTGTCCCGTGCTGTGCTGTGCTGTGCTGAGCTGAGCTGAACTGAGCTGTGCTAAGCTGTGCTGTTCTCAGCTGAGCTGAGCTGAGCTGAGCTGTGTGCATGAGGAGGATGAGGAGGAGGAGAAGGAGGAGGAGGAGGAGGAGGGGAGGAGGGGAAGAGAAAGGAAGACGCGGGTGCGACGCGGCAGTGAAGAAAACCATACCCCACTAAGCATGTGGGGAAAAACGCTGTTATCGCATCGCGTTCGTCGATTGGGGAACCCCAGTCCTCATCCTCCTCATCCCCCCATTCCGCCTTCTCCCTCATCCCGCCTAGGCCTCCTCCCCTCCTCCCCCTTCACGTCAAGCGTTTTGCTTCCCGCACATGCTTCCCCATTCCCGCCCAAAACCCAATTGAGCGACGAAAGACAACGAGTCTTACGCAGTTGACGCGGGCCACTAGCGCGGCACGCCGAGCTGGAGACGAGGGCGCTTACGCGCGAACTTACGCGGGCAGCTTGCGCGCCGGCGGACAACGACCCCGTTCCCTTGCGTCTCCGGCGAACAGGGGGGGGTAGCACGGGGGGGGGGGGGGGGGGCAAAATCAGCTCACGCACGTGGTTTCCAGCGCACCTTCTGGCGCTGGGGGCGGCCGCGGTGCCTCGAGGCACGCGCGCGGCGGCGGGGCCGGAAAAACAGAAGCACGCGGCAGTCATCGTACAGTCGTCGCTCTGCCATGGAGTGCGGCAGCCAGGCGCGGGCGCAGCGGTGAAGGGGCGCCAACGCGCGCAACCTCAGCCCTTCCCCCCCCCCCCATCGGCCCTGACACGCACGCCGTCCAGGGACATCCGCGCCCCCCCGATCCGCGGAGCTCCGCGCGCGGGCCTGTTGTGGGATCTTCCACGTGCGCGCCCCAGTCATGCAAGCGACTGCCTGTCCAGCCCACCCATCTGCCAAGCTTGGTGGTTACTCGGCTAAGCGTGTCCTGGCTTGTTTCGCGACGGTGCCGCCACCCCGTTACTTCACCTGGCAAGGAGGGCGTCTCCACACATCCTGGGCCCGAGGCGAGAAATCAAGCCCGAATGGGCGAAGGTGCACAGCTGGCGCCACCCGCAGGGAGCGCCTGCCTCTTCGGAGGCAGGCGTCAGGCCTCCGCCCTAGAAGAGGAACGGGGGGAGAGGGGAAGGAAAGAGGAGGGTGGAGGGGGGGGGCAAGGGGAAGGGGGTGAGGAGGCGGGGAGGTCGAGGCCGATTCCTTGGCAGGCGGTCGAATTGAGGCCACTCATGGGCCCTCGCCGACATGGCTCGGATGCTGGAGGCAGGAAGGTCCGAGCGACACAAGGGAGAGGAAGGGAGCGGGGAGAGGGAGGGGGAAATGGAGGTGGAGATTGCACCAGTTCAGACAGCAGGTCGTCCAGGCCCCCCATGTCACCGCGTACACGGCATGCCTTCCTCGCATAGCGGGAGGCGCCGCGTAAGAAACAAGGGTGGCCAGGTGACCTCCCCCTGGTGCGGTCCAGAAGAGCAGAGAAGAATCGGCGGACGGCGGTGATCACACCACCACTGTGCAGGAGAGGCACCGGCTTTTAGCGCGCTTTGGCGTGCGCGCCTCGGCGCCCCAGGGGAGGTTCGGCGCCGCGTTGGGGCATCCCCCGCAGCAACCCTCAAACAGTGAAGACTACAAAAAAATTACCCGCAGTTCACTCAGCGCCTCAGGAGTGGAGGTAGCGCTGGTGTGCGACCGGTGGGCAGCTCAACGCGCCTGGTCGCTCGCCTGGGAAGGCGCCACTAAGCGAGCCAGTGAGCGACCAGGCGGTCTGTGCTCTATGCGCGTCAGGGTCGAACTGGCGCTCCCCGCAGTGCTGGTCGCAGCGGGCATCTCGTCCCAGTGGGCCAATCCATCTCGTGGAAATACGGATGAGCTCGCACCCCACCCCGAGTGGGCGAATGCGGCTCTTGATGATAGGCGACACACGCATCCCACACCCAGTGGGCCAATGCGGATCGTAGACATACTGGGGGGTCGAGCTGACACACCCTGACGTGCTTCATAATGTCGAGGTCCCAGAACCCGTCATGCAGCTCCACGGCGCGGTACTCGCGGCAATGGAGGCCACTCTGGCGCACGACGGGGCGCTGGTGCTCCAGGTCGTGCTGGTCAGCGATACGCTGCTGGTCCGCCTTGGTGGTCAGCGACGTACGTTTCAACGTCAAGATGCGAGCACTCGGGGGAGTACCCACCCCTCTCTGAACCAGGGTCGAGCTGCCGCTCTTGGACGAGCTGCTCCACGAAGCTCTGATGGTACCCGTCGTGGCGGTCAACAATGTGATGCTCATGGTCGTGCGCGTGCCAATCGTTGACGTCAGAGTCGAGCAAATGCCGCCTGGCATGCCGCTCCTCGCCTTAGGATGCAGTTGCAGGTTGAGGTACGCAACCGCGGGGCACTCGAGCCGGGACTCGTCCCGTGCGTGGACGTGGGGGGTGGAGCTGGTGCTCCCTCACGCAGTGCGCAACGTTGCGCTGCTGGTGCCTGCAGCAGGGCGCGACGACGCGGTGCTTGAGACACTGATCGTCCACGCGTGTGCGTCGGGGTCGGGCTGCTGCTGTCCGCCGCTCTGCTCGACGTCGAGATGCTGGTGTCCGTCGCGCGGCCCAGCGACGTGGCGCACGAGGTGGCGCTCGCCCCACCGATGCCCGTCGGGGTTGGGCAGGTGCACGGGGAGACGGAGGGGAAAAGAGGGCTGGGGAGGAGGAGAGCCACCTGAGGGCGGGGGGGCACGTGAGGAGGAGGGCCAGGGGA